GGTAAAAATGTTTTCTTTTATTATACTATTTATCATGTTAGGAAATTTATTAATGTTGGCAAAATTTAATCAAGATTTACTGAATTAATTTAAAACTGATGTATTTTATTAGTATGATTGCTTGAATTAATTTAAAACAAATTTAAATTATTATTAGAAACACTGACTAGGATTCAAAAATATAATCAGTAATATCAGAATATGATTCTAAATTGCAAATTTTCTTCAGTTTAACATCCTTGAAGAACATAATAGGAAAGTGTTACTGAAAAATTTTTCAGCTCTTATTAATTTAACCTTGCGGTTAAAATTTTAATAAACTTTGTGTCCCTGACGTCCTGTRTCCTGTCCTGATAACTTAACAAATGTAAAAGGCATAGTCTGGGTCGGTGCGGCTTTAAAGAGATATTTATTTTGTACTTATCTTCTTCGATTTAAAACAATTTAGAAGAAATTACGTAAGTATAGTAAAGGAGCAATAAGATAAATTTAAAAACCAATCCAAATTAACAGATAAAACAATAAACTAACATTTTGAAATTGTAAAATATTTATTGAACAGGTAGTAGAATTTTATTATCGGGAGACCACATCGTAAATTAAAATTACCTATCAACATTTTAATGTTTAACAAATTTTTATTGCACTCATTTATACCTTCTGTTTGGAATCTAATTTCTGCTTAGTTTTCCAGTTTCAAATGAATTTTAATTTAATCCATATTGGGTAGTGTATATAAAATGCTAAATTCTTGATAAATCATGTGAGGATAAATATTTATCTCCCATTTAATACATAAATTATAAATCAGATCAAGTTTGTGCAATTGACGACTTTGTTTCCAATTTCCGCAAACCAGAAATATTCTAATTTTAACAGTAATTGAAATCTTATTGACTTTTTCGAGTTACAGAAAACCCTCATAAATTTTTCAGGAAAGAGATGGATTTTGTATACCTTCGTGTAGGTGAAATGCAGCAAGCTTTTTCCCCACGATTATAGACCACCTGTTCCTTGATTTTTATGCGACTCGAAACGGCCGCATGTTCTTGCACTATTGGGTCACACCAATAATGCTCAAGTTTTTCATTTAATCAATTCGTACAATGTGGAATTTCGGAAGAGAAAGAAAATATTTAAATTGCTATTAAAGATTTAATCCAGTGTGCCACTTGTGGCAAACTGGTTTTAAATTTCGTCGCAGCCCCTAACAAATTTAAGTTTAATATTTTAATAAGAAATTGATTTTAATTTCTCGTGTTGGTGTAAATCTATATTTAGAAAATAAATGAAGAAAATAATTGTACATACCTACTGAATCAAACTGAGTTTGTGTTTTAGAGTTTAACAATAAGAAATAATTATGTAAAACTATAATTGTTAACAATTTTGTTTTCTATGCGTTCGTGTCGCTGCTATGACAATTCAATGTCTTTTCTAAACATCATATGAGAAACTGTTATTGGAAATCGAAAAATTCAAGAGATTTATTTAATTATTATGGCCCCCTACTTCTTGTTGATTTAAAGAGGATGCTTCGACTATTAGGATAAGTTATGGACCAAAATTAGACAACAGTTTTACGACATATTTAAAATATTGCGCAAATAATCACGAAATTGCCCTACATAATTCGATTAGGATAGTTGTAATAATTTGATTCATTGCTACCCGGRCACATTGAAAATTACAGCCATAAAACAAACAAAACATCACGCTAAAGACATAATGCCGCATAATTAACACGTGGATTATTACGTTTCTTTAATTTATAGAAAACGCTGCTGAATTTTGATTTAGTCACATTTTTGTAACAAAAAATTATTTCGTATTTTTAAGGCTTTTATGTGTGATTTGCGTCCTGAAGCACTCAACACAATTACGAAATTGGAAGAAAATGAATGTTAATTCGCGTCATTAGTTCCAATTTTCCTAATGCTGCTCACATACAGCCCGGAACGAGGGGCCGCTTTAATTAATTTTGATTTGAGTGAATCACAGTTAATTACCTGGAGTTTTAACTAAGTCTTCATACCGACTGAAGCATCACATGCACTTTACTCGCACCAAATATCTTCCCACAATTAATAAATAATCGTTATTGAATTTTATGGCACAAGCGCGGATAGTTTCGATTTCAAAGAGCTTTTCACATACACTTGCAAAGTTCACTTTTCGTATTGTAGACTGAAATGAATGGCAGGATGGCATGCGCTACCTTTTATATACATCATAGTGGTAACGTTACTTGTGCTTACGATAAATTAGATGGATTAACCTGTACAGGTTGTACCTCTAGCTCGATTTGATTGTATACTAAAGCGATTACGTCACGCTTTTGTACCATGCTGCAATCATTAATTGTTATTGACATGTGTATTATATTAAGGGATGTGTTTACAATTAATCGAACTTTTCATCTGCAACAGGTTTTTTTTTTTGTTGCAATTTAGTGTGACGCAGCGAGCAGATGACACATGCGAGTTATTGAACCGAAGATATTATAATAATTAAATAATTTGTTATACTATCGACGTTTCTGTCGGTAAAACCTATRCACTACTTAAATTCTAAAGAATTTGAAATTTTTACAACTTACAAATTTTATTATTTACAATCTTCTACGGACGCCTTTGAACAACTTTTTAATCCTTCGTTCTATTTTCTCCTATTGCGATTTACTATTTAATTTATGATCGTGCCAAATATGAGTTTTGGATTATAATATCCGACTAATAATTTTATTATTTTTGTTAATAGAAGACAATATTAATTTGTTTCGAATTTGGGTCTAGGTCCCTCAAAACAACCCACAAATTATCGTCATGTTGAAATTTTCGAATATTTTGATTTCATTGCTTTTAAATTCGACACTTTATTCAGCAGTTAGTACAAATTACGGCGATGCAGAATCCTTTTAAATATAATGTGTCTTCGAACAACTTTAAACGGTGCAATTTAGGTTTAAATACTGAAAAGTGTAATTGCATTTCGAAATTTTTACAAGGTCAATTGATGCTTCACTTAATTTTTGTGAACGTTCTGTATTTTGTATAAGTAAAGTTTATTTATGCCTGAAGCTATGCATCACACCATTTTTGCTTTTTAAAGTTGAAATAATTCAAAGGAATTGGAGCGTTAACAGTAAATGTCGCGGACGATAGTGTTTATTTTACCAATTTTTATCGCAATATTTATTTCTGTCATTTTAAAAAGGACGTGTATTTTTTATAATAATATGATAAAATTGTAAATTTGTGTTTCCTTTAACCATTTTTTATGTAATTAAAATAATTTTTGTGTTTTTGTTTTTATTTATTTGCTACAAAAGTACCTAATAGTAATAGTAATTTGGCTTRGAATTTATTTGATCTACTTTAAATGTTGCTATAAGTATTTGATTAGAAATTGTTATAAAAATATAATGACAGTTCGCTGAATTGATAGTAATTCCACTACAAATATAGTGTTAGTGACAGATAAGACACGCCCATTTTGTGTACAAGAATATTGGATGACCATATTAAAAGTTTTAATCGATTAACAATTCCAATTAGGCAATTTGTACCTATTTAAAACAGATCCAATGTATCTTTATTTAGAAACAAAAATATAGCTACCGTTTACACTTTGGATCAAGTCTACCTAATCGAGTTTCTTATTATTGTCTAACATTTTTTAAATAATAAAAATACAAAAATGCTCAATGTGAAAATATTACTAGTGCAAAACAAAATGTTTGCTTTTGATCAGTCGAGTAAAATTTTGCATAGAACTTGATACAGCAGAAATCATTCGTCTAGTTTTGATTAGAAAACAAAAATTGAATAGTATTTTTGTTATTGATTTTTATAGAAAAATTGAGTTAAGATTACGATAATTACACTAGAAAAAAATTAAATTCCTAATTCAAGATTTCTCTATTCTGCATTATAAATCCTCCAAGATTAATAAATAATTCCCAAAAATTTGAAAAAGAGAAACTAAAGAAATCCATACAGATCGATTACTAAACCGTTAATAACCTGTTAAATATTTAATTCCTTTATTATGTTAGATTAAGTGGATAAAACACAATCTATTATTGTAAGATCTTAAATAAATTCCGTTAATTCGTATTAAAAATGTTTTGTTTATTGTCTAGAGTAATATCTAGCTAAAGCTGCAATCTTTTGATAAGAGCACTTTATTACACTTGAAAGAGTGTAAATATTGAACTTAATCATATGATGTATTTTGATAATGATAATTAGTAGTATGATATTTACTAAGTAGTATTTATTGATGGATAAACACTTTAACGTCCATTTTAATTTTTCCAGTGTTACTTGCGAGACAAAATCTTAGTTTTAATTTATTTAAACTTTTCCGCCTTTGTCGGAAATTTTCCTGGGAGTTATTTCATCCGTCTATTGGCAATAATTTTTTTACGTGGTCGCAGTTAGCAGTAATTTGTTTTATTTACCCACGCAAAAATGCCAATAACTTTACATAGGCGCTAATTTCAGACTTGTTGAATTTGATTAATAAGTTTAAGCAAAGTGCATCGTGTGACCAGGAGCCGGTGGCGGTGCTCACGAAAACTATAATTGCTATTAGCACAAACCTCGCGAGTGAATAATCGCTGAGCTAACATTCTCAAGCACTGCCACACTTTTCAATTTATACAATAGCAATTATGGGTTGTGCAAACATGGAACTTACTTGACTTCACCCGAAAAATTCGGATCCGTGGAGGCTTCATCGGGGTTGGGGGTCGTCTAGCGCTTCCCAGCGCTTCATTTGTAGATGCGCAATATGACAGATTTGAGTGCCGACTGCACGTCCTACACCCTAAATGTTGCTCTGTAGTGGACAATTAATAAAAGAGTCGTTTATAACCATGTTATTCAAGTCGGAAATTTGCGTTTATGTGGAGCACAAAGGCGAGCAAATCGTCACACGTGGTGCGGATTTCCAAGGGATGTCAAGTTTCAGGAATTCGCYGATCAATAATTTCGCAAAGGACCAATATTTGTCAATTAGAAAGGAGGTGTTAGGAGTTTTTGAATAGTTTCATTAGGCTACTTAGTGTGTAACGTGATATGTGTGAATCGTGGCAAGTACGCCTTACCGAGCAAGGATCTCAAAATATTTGCTTAATAGATTTGGGTTTAAAGGCGAGTTTATTAGAGCGAGTGTCGTAAATTGATTTGTAAATACGATGATGTTCGTTGATGTTTTATTAAGTCAGGTGGTGACAAGAATCAATAGATAGTTGGTCCGAAACTAGTTATTTCAGGCTGTTGCCATCGTGGTCCAATTAACCCTCATGGGAAATGGAAATCTTCTGCCTCCCACGAGTCAGTTTAAATCATTGTATCTTAGACTTTGGTGCTGGAGTAAAGTGGATAAAATATGTGTCAATGTCAAGGGAAGTTATTAAACGTCTTACCAACACAAAGAAAATTATTATCGTCTCTAGTTTAAGCAAAAATGAATAGGGTAAACAGCAAATCATTACAAGGAGAATGAAAAGATGCAACCGTCATAATCGCATTTATTATTTAAACAATTCAGATGTCACATCGATAAAGGATGTATTCTTGTACAGTAAACACCGTATCCTTTAATGATATAAAATTTAAAGGAATCGCTTTCATCTCATCAAAATGTGGAGTCACTCATATCTCCGAACCGAGCGATATAAATATGCGATTAGAAAAAAAACTGTGATTTCAAAATCATGTGGTAGTAGAAAAATCGCATATTTACAACAAAGGAATGCGATAAAATCGGTCGGATCAGTCCCTGGATTACATCATTGATAACTGAAAACCTAAACAAAAACAGCAACTGATTGTCTAAACTTGCATTCGCAGTTATCAACGATATAAAAGAAGCAATACATTTTGATTCAGCACTTTGTTTATTTATAGAAATTTACAAGTAGCACCACTGTGCTATTATAATATTTTATCATAAAATTAAACAAATTCCTTTGTTACACTTGGCTTATTGTTTCATAATGCAAGCTAAAATTATTTTAGGGTACGTAACTCAATTCCCAAATTTTTAATATAAACTCTGGTTGTGGAAGACCGGCAGAACACAAATACGCCAAACACAGATAGCATAGTCGCATGCCAATCTTGATATAAAATATATTTTGACGCCGCTTTTCAAATAAATGGTTTTATTGATGCAGTTTTGGTCCGCACTGGTCGTATACTTTTGCATTACATTATGGAAAAATGTGTGGAATTGCTTATAGACAAAAATTGCAGACGCGCTAAATGGATTTTAGTGGATGCGACTGCATACATAAAAAAGTGGCGATTAAAATGGTAATCATTTTTTACTAGAATCGTATGATTGGTGTTCCGTCGTCAAATAATAACATGCCATTTTAATTGTTTCAACTAAAATTACTCTTTTAAAATCAGATACGGGGTAATAAATTGTGCCAAAAGAAAGATTAATTTTGTTTGCTGTTATACAGTTGATTAGTATAATTTACACTAAGAACAATTCTTTCGTGGATTATAGACCCTTTATAAAACCAGATTAAGTTGAAATTTATTCAGACCGACCGTAATGAAATTTAAATATTTATAAAGAAAGCAGCAAAGCTTCTTCGTTTTCGATTAACAAATTTTAGTAAAGTTTAGCACTCAGTAAACAAGTTTCAGTCAAGAGCAATAATTTGTCAGTAATCTCATTTATTACTACATATTAGTATCTCAAAGTCTAAAAAAATTGTAAAAATTAAACAATATAAATGGTCGTCTTTTGAAAAAGCAAAAGAACATTAAATAAAAAAATTGTACAATAAATCAATTTACGTGTCTTATTTTCATTCCATTTTGTTAAATATTTGTTTAGATTTATATGTTTTTATATATTTTATTTAAAGATGTATGTTATACTAAGTGTGCTGGTTTTAAATTCAGTTTGTTTAAAAATATAAGTGTATACATATTAAACCAATTTAACCTGCGTTCTAATGAAATTGTAGATTGGTTTAAAATTTTTGCTATGGTAATCACAGTAAGAGGAATTATAAATAAATCTAACTGAAGCACTGATTTCAGAAACACCCCAAATCCATTTTTATTCTATGTGAGTTCTATATGTTTTTGAAACTAGTGATTCAACTACAATTTCAACAAAGCGCAGCCATAGTTCATTTATTTTCTTACTTCTTTATTTATATTAAAATGTTAATAATTTTCAAATATTTTTTTTAGTTTGTGGCCTTTGTTGATAAGCTTCTTTATTCATAAAGCGGCTCAATGAATAGCTCCAACATTAAACAGCAGATTGGCCCTTTGTCTATGCTACGTATGTCAACAGATTCGAAGGTAACAAAAAACGGCCTTCCAAAAACTCAACCAATAAAATCGTCACCGTCTTAGCTCATGACAATAAATTTATGACAATCACAGTGCGATTACTATATTAAAAATCAAGTTCAGTCCGATATGATTTTGATTTTCAGTTGTAATATTTTGATTAGTTCACAACAGAAAACTGACACTCAAACAGAAATTTCCTGTATTTGGACGCGTTTTTTCATAGTTCCTGGCGTAGTAGGTGCTCCTTGCGTCCTTAGAATACCGGTCTGATTGCACGCGRCCGGGGGTTGGCCTTTGGGAGGCGGCGGCGGCTCCGGAATACCTGGACTGGTCACCGGGGGCTTCTCTTGGTTCGTAGACGTGACATCTGGCGGGTAGCTCTCTATCCTCTTGGCCGGTGGTGGCGATGAATTGAACTCTTGAAGCGGTAATTCCGTCATCTGCATTTCTAAGCGCTTGTCGCAGCTGAACTCTCCGTACGAAGACGTGAAATTCCCCCTGGAGATCTCATAGGGCAATTTGCCGCCGCACTCGTATGAAATCTGTCGGGATTCGAAGGCCTTGTCGTAGTTCTCTCCGGAAGAACTACTGCAACTTCCGGCTTCCGCGAGCTCCTCTTTCTTTTTGTTTTTGCTCTTACTGCGGTCGCGCTGGTGGTAGATGCCAGCGAATATCACGATGTTCAATAAGAGGAGGAAACAACCCACTGCTATTGTTACGGTGAGGGCTGTTGTGTAACTTTGGTAGTGACTGGACGCTAGTTTCCTGAGCAAGTTGTTGTTCTTGCTTACGCTTGGGACGATAATGGTGTTATTAGGGGGGCATTCGGTCGTCGTGGCTTGAAGGGCGGTGTCGGACTTTGGAGGCGGCGGTGGAAGTGATGTTGTGGCTGGAGGAACACGCACGGTTGTTGCAGGGGGCGGCGGGGCTATCACATGCACTAACGGGGGCTTCTCTTTGGTTTGGGGACGGACGGAACCTGCAAAAGCATAATTATTTTTACACCAAATCTCGTACAGTGCGTTTGCAATCCTATTTTTGTAGATACATGATAAATTTTTGGCCGTAYACACAAATATACAGGGTGTTCGGTCCTAGTCGCCYCAGCCGATAACACCTAAACTTACTTGTTTTTTTCAAAAACTAAATTTTCTAATAATACTATTCATTCTTGGTTTTCTTAGTAAATGCATCAACTTTGTTTGGCACATCCGGTGTAGCCGGAAATGCAACCAAATTTAGTTTTTCAAATGGAACACCTATGTTTTGTTGCTCGAAACAGTAATAAATGGCATGAAAAATACAGTAAACAATTATTTATTACATTTTACTTTACATAATGCACTGAGAAAACAATTTAAATTTTAGAATTTTATTAGCAAATTTTGCAATGTAGGCGGATTTTACTTGTCAAGGTATTCATGCAAAAAGCAATATGCTTGGATACCGTTTAATTGTTATTTTGTCAATAAATCTTATTGAGATTTTTAATAATGGATGATAATAATTACGACGAATTGGTAGATCWGTTTGAAGTGTTTTTTAAGTGCAATAAAAATAGAGCGGAAGCTGAAAGACAGTWTAGAGAAAAATACCCAAATAGAGTTCACCCAAATTGTTGGATATTTAGTCGAATTGAAAAACAAATGAGACGAACAGGTTCGCTTCTTAAAACTAAAAAACATGTGTTTCTTAGTGAAGACCAAGAAAATCGAAGAGTTTTCATAAGAGAACTCGCTCATCTGACAAATTAGATTTGTCAAACCAACAATTAAACTGTATCCAAGTATTTTTTTATTCACACCWTTCCTTTRAAATTAAAAATCAGGCTACGCGACCAATTTCCTTATAAAATTCTAAGGTTTAAGATGTTTTCTGAGATTGCATTGTGTTAGGCAACATGTAATAAACTGTGGTTACCGTATTTTTTATGTCAATTATTATTGTTTCGAGGAAAAAACATAGGTGTTCTATTTGAAAAACTAAATTTGGTAGCATTTCCAGCAACACCGGATGACTAAAAAAATTTGATACATTTATTAAGAAAGCTAAGAATTAATATTATTACTTAGATATTTATTTTCTGAAAAAAAGAAGTAAGTTTAGGTGTTATTCGCCGGGGCGACTTGCATCGAACACCCTGTATGCAACGTAATTAATAAATGAAGCTTAAAATGCATGAAATTTTTACCCAAATTACACTCGTAAATTAGTTTTCTGAATAAATCGTGTTTTAAGACTCGTCAAAATACGAGTGCATTTGGTGAAAAATAAAGTTTTTTAATTCCGAGCGAAGATAAATGATTTGGATTTTCACGGCTGAATTCATTCGCAACAGAATTGTTTAATTTTTCTATTATTGTTTAGTCAAGTCTCAAGTTTTTCTTTGTGTARCTTTTCATTTCTCCAACAACAAAAGCAAACTTTTTATTTGTATTTAAGAAGAAATAATTAGAACGTTACCGTCATAATACTGCTCATCTTCTTCTTGGAAATGATGATGCCTCATTGAAACATCGTCTCCTTCTCCAGGTCTGTGTAGTTGGGGTATGAGATTCAACCAGAGTGACATTTTATGTCCTCGGTAATGATTTCTCATCTCCGGACGGTTTCCTGTAACACGTACGAGTGGTTACTTGAGTCTTGCAGTAAAACTACTACAACGAAAGAAAACTTTAATAGAGACGTTGATGTTTAATGATGTTCCTGACTTGTAACTGTTCATTCAGTGTTCACATTTTTATTTCGATTAACTGAAAACGTATATTATTGCTTTTGAAATCTCCAAAATTTATTTATTTATTATATTTATTTATTATTAGACAGTATATGAAGCAAAGCGTAGTAAATAAATAAATAGTTAAAAACTAGTGGCGTAGTCACGAGATATTTTAAAAAAGAGTGCTTTAAGGTCCTATGAAACGAGTTTGAGGCAAATTACAAAAAATTTGGCCAAACTTGTGGGTTTGGAGACGACTAGAGTTTTGAAATATTTCTATCAATAACTAGACGAGTGTCTGACATTTGAAAACCTTGTTAGATTATTAGTTATAAAAATATTTTTCTTCTGTGGGCATTGTGAGTGTAATAAAAGAGTTTCGCCCGTAGAGTGCAATAATAATTATTTTCTTGAAAGTTTTCATTGCGACAATTATGGAATAAAACTGTGTAAAAGAATACAAAGTAGAGTTGTGCTCAAAAAGTGAATAAGACGAAATGCTTGAATGTTTTAGTAAAAAGTCTGGTCCTTGGACATCTGGGTCGGTTTTAATTGAATAAAACCCCGGTTGCAAGCAGTCGAAAGGCTATTAATCACGATGCAGAAACGTTATCGTCTGATTTTTCTAATAATCGATGGTGCAGCTTTGCTCCAAATTAATTATTCAGACTGATTGCAGAAAAGTTGGCAAGTATTCGAGTGCGACCGCTTAGGTGATAAATGGAGACGTGGGTCTTATTTGCGAGGAAAAACACAACCGAAATTCTTAGGAAATAATTTTACAAATTCATTAATCTCAATGACACGATATTTTAGAATCACTTTTAATTAACATGATTTACGAGAAAATTCCACTTTAATTTCGTAACTTGAAACTGTACTTTGGTTGATAGAATATCGCCACATATTATTAATAGCCTCTTCCGAGTGACGTTGGGGCTGCTTTTATTTTGAATCTCGGTTTTAGTGAATATTTCCCAGTTTACATTAGTTAATTAAAACTTCCTACTTTGTACATTGCTAATTAGTAAAAATTCCTACTGAAGAGTTTTATTTGCTTTACTTATCCGGTTTATATCTAACAAATATATACGATAAAAAGTAAAGAGCCAAACTCGATTTTTACGACTAAAAGCTTTTTCTTTTACAATCTCACACCAAAAAAAATTTACGATTCCCCGAGCTTCGAGAGAACGTTCTGATTTTATAACTGTCAGCAGCCCGGTATAATATACAGGGATGAGGTTTAGGAAAACAACAAGGGAGTGGTACTCGGGAAGAGAAGGTGATCGAGTAGTGGTAGACTTCGGCTTCTGGTAGAACAGTATGAACTTACGGTGGTACTGAAATGAGGGCAGRGAAGCGGGAGCCAGGAGTGGATAAAGAAAAGTCGATGGGAGCGTGTTGAGAGAAAGTCCAGCTTTTCTTCGAAATAGTTATGTTTGSTAGGAACTGCAAAACTTCTCTCACCTAATTCCAAGTAAAGTTGGTTGATGGTATCATACGTGTCCCAGTAAGGCGTGTTGATTTCTTCATGTCCTTTTTGTGAGTTCTTGGCTTCTGACGCTGATGCATTTGGAACGGCGCCATTTGGATCCCTGAAAAGTAATCCCTTCACCAATTTCTTTTTTCCTCATTGATTGATTTAAGTTGGCATTATTGTTAAACAGGTGGAACTGATATTTCATCACCCTGTTTTAAACCCTGCCACTTAAATCGGCAATATTGTTTTTTTCGGTTATAATAAAATTGTATCTAGAACTTATATTTTACCGCTATATAGATATTTCCTTCAGGAGGCGAGCTTATTTTATTGACCGTAAAAATAATGTTTCAATACTATTACGTCCGAACCACCAATGTTTCAGATTATATCTGCTTTAAAAACAAACCTTTTTCATTGTTACGTTTTAACCACCTCGTAAAATAAGCGGATTTTGTACCAAATACAATAAGATTGGCGGTTGCAAAATGTTTCTATAAACTGCGCAGTAATCACTTCCGGAAAAACAGCCAGATAAGTGTACATAAAAATGTAAACTTGCAACCCTTTCGCTTAATTTAAAATTTGTAAAAATTTAACTCGAGWTTGATTTTTCTCAAGCTTTTTACCGCTCGAGCTGAGCCGAGAACACAGGGTCCTAAATTGCGGGTGACGGTGAGTTAAATTATGTGAAACCGCCTCTTGTGGTCGGTTGAGGTTACACGAGGTACACCCCCTCTTTTCTGAAGAAGATGACATCAAGTGTCAACAACAACTTTGACCTCTATATACTATTCCTCGACAATAAGTTGAGCTTGCAGTTTTAATATTTTTGATTTCAAAGGAAAATGAATAATTTTTCTTCCATAACACCGAAACCCGGATTAAACCTCGCTCGAACAAATTGTTGCGAGYTACCCGAAAAATTGATGAAAGTAGCTCGACATTTGCATGATTATAGTGAAACTTAAAACTCCTCAACTTCTCTAACTCGCATTTGCAGACAGCGTCCTTCTCGATGAACACATGGAATCCATTCAATCCGCCGTAGATCAGTCGGAAAGTTTGTTAATTTTAAAGTTAGCCAAAATTCGGGCAAAAACCGGCCGCGATTGCGGCTACGCCTGCCTAAATTAACCTAAAGCTGTTTGTTAAATTTCGATCAGTTAAACGCTGCCCAAACGTGACCCAATGCAAGCTAGATTAACCAACAACATAAAAGTAGTATGTACTATGTAGTAGTAATATTGTTTCTGTGTTTTTTACTATACATTTTACTGCTTTTCATGCAGAACACACGATAAAAAAATAAAACGTAGACAATAGCTAACGTCATTTGTGAAAAGATTTTGTGTTTTCTTACATTTTCAAGCAAATGCTCATAGGTTTTTTTTGAGAATACTTTATGGAGATGTATGCGGTGATTGATCAGCAAAGACAGTCAAAAGCGTGTTAGTAAGTCGAGGAATCATGTAGGTATTATAGCAACCTCACTAATAGCAGCATCGCGGCAGATACGAGACCAATTTTAGTGGGTCGATGCGTTTACCAGCCACTTGAATCTGTAATGAAGCAGGAGAGAAACCCTGGAAGCAGTTACGATGTCACATCGGTTYTGCTCCGGGCATGTCATTATCTATGAACTTCATATCTTCGAATATCCAACCGCTCCGGTTATAAATTTGCGGATACGCCGCCATATTGCTTCGCTCCCACGAATTGTTTCGAAAATATTAACATTATCGTTTCGTGTTCTTCGCAAATCGGTTTTATATTGGTGCGCAATCAGTTAGACTTATCTGTCAGATATTTTTTCGAGAAAAGTGGTGATATCCGGAGAATAACCATATCTGAAGTGACAGAACATTCAGCGATTCGTTCGAAACAATTTCAKGTGTCTTATTTGCCGTCGACCTGAAGATCTATCGCCAAATCGCTGAGACATCATGTCGGCACCTTTTTCAAATGCCAAATGCGAGACGCCGATGAATAGCAAATAGTTGACCCGAGTTTGGAATTTCGAGATAATTATTAATTTAGTTTCACGACAACAGAAGCGGCGCTATAAATTTTGACCTGTCTTTCAAATCATGAAATATATCCTTAAGAAAAGTTTCAAGCGCAACTTTACAAACTTCAGTTTTCATTATTTTGCAACTATAATTAACTACTAATTAGAATCTTCCATATGGCTGGCATTTACTCTGAATTTTATTTTTATGAGAACATTGTTTTTTGAGGAAAATTTTAAATTAAAGTGATGGGTAAAAAACCCAGGCTTCAAAAGCGTGTGCAAGCAATCACATTGTTGACACAGATTTAATAACATGTCTATCATTTTTCATAGCTGAAAGTTTCATATGTGYATACACATGGGACAAAACGTAAAGTAGAAAGCGTCAATTTTCTCGTAAAATGCTGCGAAATACCTCTTAAGCGATTCTAGTAACTTTTTTTTTAACACATTTCACAAGCGTTTTGAGTACTTCAAACTCTACTTAATTTATTATTAAAACGAGAGTTAAAGTTTGTTAAGTATTTCTCACTGACTTGTTTTCGAAAGTTTGACGCAAAATCCCACAAGATCAAAAACTTAATTTATTACTAGGTCTATACAAATTTCTTACATATTTGTAATTATCTGAACTGGTTCGAATTAAAATTACTTTTATTTCTTTTGGATAATATGTTTTTAATGAGTGTATGAATTTTGTAAATAATTCTTATATTCCATGAAACATATTTAATTAGTTCCAAAAATATACTCTGGCCATTTCCCCAAATAATAATAAACTTAATACCTAATTCCTCTTAAAAGCATAAAATATTTTGTTAATTTATGATAATATAATATGTATTTAATAAAGGTTTAGTCAGTGTGTTGATCTCGGTGTTAATGCCACAGTATTATTTAAGTAATGCAATGAGTTTACAATGCTGTATTACTGGCTGCCGGAGGCGACATTTATTTATTTTCACTTACGCGAGAGCTTTTTTTTCGAAGTAAACTTGACATTTTAATGAGAATTTTGTTTTCTGGCAAAAACTGCTACTGAAAAAATTACAAGTCCGTAGAACGAGTCCGTAGAACGAGTCCGTAGAACGAGTCCGTAGGACGAGTAATTTTTTCTGGCAGTTTTTTGAGTTATATGCCTAAAGGAAACAAAACTCGAATTAAAAATGTCAAGTTTTCTTCGTAAAAAAAGCTTGAGTGTAATTCGGTAAAACAATTTAATGAATACGTAAATCACTAAATTAACAAATAAGGTCTAAAGTTAGGTTCCGTTTTGTCGCTGTAATAGTTAGGGCAAACTTTTGTCGCTGTCATAGTGACAAAAACACCGCGCTTATGGGATTTCTAGTGTATGAAAAAAATTGGCATTGCAATTTTTGGTTATATCTCACATTGGAAACGTCCTAACGTCCTAAGTGTGTTTTTTGACGTCACAAAATTTGATTTCTGTGTAAAAAATGAAGTTTTTTACAAGAATTTGTTACACTGACAAATTTAGAGTGAAGAAGTTCTACTATTCATATAGAAAAAAATACATAGACCCTAGAATAGCGATGAAAAAGTGTTAAGCTATAGATACATAAGATCAATGTTCAATGGACTTATAGTTGAGCTTCCTAAAAAAATGTTTCTACACTTTTAAAATAGTTAAATGGTGCTCGAACTTGAAAACTGGCATTATAATGGAGAAATACAAATTTTCTCATGGTTTATGTTTGAATTTCGACCCCTACATCGATTATTATATTAATATTTTAACAATGTTCTTATCAGTTTTCAGATATTTTTCACTATATTCAAACTAATTAAAAAAAAAAGGATACAGTTAATCTATATTTTTCACTATATTCAAACTAATTAAAAAAAGGATACAGTTAATATTTAAATAAAATTGTTCCTTATCAAATTGATTTATAAACAATAAATTTCAGTCTTTAAGGACTCTGTAGGTATCTTGTATAGTTATAAACTAAAATAGTCTTGTCAGCAAAATTAAGTTTACTGTGGAGACTGTGATTTTATCCTGCAAAAGCTAATTACAATTCAAGTTTAGTTTAGTTGGTGTTGTTTAATGACATTTTCATTTTCATATTAGAGCAGTTGGCGCTGTTATCGTATTGAATTGTTCAAATATTTATTCAAGTCTTATCATATACCTTATTAAATTGAAATTATATTGCCCTAGTTGTAATAAATTTTCAACTCATTCTTGCTTGCGATTATTATGCAAGATGCGCATTTCTATTGCCTAGGGTAATGCAATTGTAAACTAGGAAATTAGAAATAAGTTGTCTAACAATTCTAGTATAGTATAAAGTGAGTCCAATTAACGAAACTTGTAAGTTGTCTCGAAGTTAGTTAAACGGATTTATTAAATTGGAGGACTTCAAAAAATAATTAAACCTTATTTGTGAAAAATAAATAGTAGTGCTCTATTTTACTTTGATTACTATACTTTGGAGTCTGTAATTTGGTCCGTAATGAGCTGGTCGTATTTCAGCATGGGATAAGAACAAAGTTTTTGCACAACTGGTAAAAGTGAATTTAAATTAGTTTTTTATCGAAAGTTGAATCAGTGAAAATTTTGCTCTCCGCTAATTTAAATTAACATTTTTCATACATAAGAAGCTCTGAGAAAAATGAGACGACAAAATTGAATTTACTTAAAGCACAATCATAAAATTTTTATACCGTGATGAAATGAGTTAATCTAGCAAGCAACACAAGATTGCTTTTCGATCGATTCGATTTCTGGTAAACATTCCCAAAAATCAAATTTCCGCGCGCCGTTTAAAAAATGCAGTAAGTTGTAACAGATGAGGTCGTAAAGTTTTCATCTGTGTTTACTGGGCGGAGACAACAATCTTATATAATATTTATGTACTGTGGTGTTGCTTTATCTTTACTACAACACCAATGTTGGCGAGATATTACGCCAAATTTTTCAAATGGCCACCAYCGAGCTTTATAACTCGATACGCGCTCGTTACCTCATCATGGACTTGCAAATAGATTGCAGTTTATAGCCTTGATATTACCACTAAAGTCCATTATCTGTCGTTTATTGTTTTAGCATCCAACTAAAACAACTGAAGCCCGATAGTGTCCAACATAAAACAAAACCGAATTTTACGCGCAGAACTTACAGATTTTTGGCATCACCTAATTTTTTTATCGACCAACTAACAAAAGACTTTATCACGTTGCAACAAAATAAAATGCAACACAAATATCCGTACCACACACGGAAAAATTAATGAATTAATTGTTGCAATATATGCTTTGTTGAATTAAATTCAATTGCAAAAAAGCATTGAAGCCAGTTAGAAAATAAGTTCGTAGAATTATTTTTAAAAACAAAGAAAAGCCTGAACAAACAACAAAAAAAGTTAAACAATAGATTTATTACAATAATTATTTTAAATTAATTCAATTTGCGTGCGCGTTTGTTAAATTCTCCGTCACCAAAGGCGAGTGAGGTTTTATAAGAAAACGTTTTATAATGWTAAAGAAATTATGATGATGGAGAATTTAATGGATCGGTCCATACTTTTTTCTTTAACATAAAATGTTAAAAAACCTATATTCAACTATTTTTTTATATTAGCTACGTAAAAGTTTAAAAATTCGTTTAGGTATTTCCCAATAATAACTTATTTCAAAAAATCTTCCACTTATATTCTTTAGTCTGTTTTTAGGCTGCAGCTGCATGCTTGTGCTTTCTGCTGAGAACGCTGGAAACTTTTTCTCAACTATTCTTAAAAGAAAAGAATAATTTAACAAATGACGCCCCCCTAATCTCGATGGTTGCAAAAAGAGTGTACTAGCATGAAAACACGCGCTTGACACAATGTCGAAGAGACTTATTTATGAACCCCTTAGTTCACAAGATGAATTAGTACGAGATAATTATGTGTGCRTAAGATAGATAGTCAACGATCACTCATCAAGTAATGTCGCTGACTTTTCCCCTTACATCCAGTTATTAAAACCCTTAGGAAGCATCCATCAGATGCTTTTGACACGTGAACTTTCCCTCTATAGTTGTCAAAAATGACAACTACATTACTGAAACGTGTTATAAAAGATAAATCCAATTAGCAAGTAGGTCGATCTCKATTGGTCTCATCAATTAATAATTAAATATTGTTGTGTGAACTTGGTGTAAGTAACTGGGCTGTTTAGTTTATGAAATGATCTCCTAATTATAACGTTCGTATGTTTCTCTGGCTATAGAGAAAGGCTATCGGATATTWWGTTGATAAATGTTAGCTTGAACAATGTAAATGACGCCATTGGAATAATTATATACAAATCTAGTTATTTTATGAAATAACAATTCCTTTGATGTTAGCACCAAATACTGGCGACTAATTAACTTGTGGCTTTCGGAACTGATGATATTGTCAAATGTGCAGAAATTTCTTAAAAATGCCTCAGCTAACAATATCGAATCTTCCAGCAAGCACTTTAAAAGCATGCTGAGAGAAATGAAGAGACTTTGAGGTGTCATGTTTAGATTAACAGAGAATTTGGTGCCTTATTTACGTCGTATCATGATTGTTAAACCACAAAAATCCTTACATTTCGCTAATTTTTGGGTATACACTATCCTCTTCCGGTTTATTGCCGCTAATAATAACTATTCGGATACTGATAAATCCTTTAAAAAGCGGATTATCTTCTATAGATTAGCCGAGAGCTTATTTCTTTCGTTAGGGCTTTAGTAGGTGTACCGGCCTTGTTGAGGATAAGAAGCTCGTCTTAGTGATGGTGGAGAAAGGCGTCCTTATCGAAATCCGTCCCTAAGTAATTATGGGGTTAACCGAGCTTTATCAAACGTCGCGGCCAACTAGATGAGCAAAGTATTGTAATTAAGTTTCTAATGACCCATTCGACCTATTTYAGACAAGTAGCAAAATAAATGAGTTCAAGTACGCATCAAATTAAATCGTTGCATAATGCAAAAGTCGGCCGTAATAAACGAGCTTTCGGTCTTTGGAAAAAGCAATTTCAGCAATTTTTATTATGTATACATGCATCATTCTTGCGTTGTGTTTACGCAGGTTAGCTGATATCATCCCCGATATACGAGCCGTTATTGCAGAAGGGGATACGGAGTGACAATAATGCACTCACCCCTTCCTGGCAAAATTGCTGATGTAATGGATGAGAGTTTTCGAAACTGTTACATCGCTGTGGCTGTAGTTGTGTGGAAAAAATGATCCTCCGCCAATCAAAGGAAGGCCGAGAATATAGGGAAGATCCTCGCCTCGTACGCTGCCGGCTCTCTGAAATGCAAAAAAATCATAAAGATACCTATACTTTAAAATCCATCTCAGTTTTTTACAAATTAAAAAAAAACTTAATCTAGTAAATGAAAAATTATTTGTAAATGAAAGTCTTCAAGTAATTACAGCGCAAACAGCAACTCGTATTTAAAATGTCTTTTTTAATTATTAATTTCTGCTCTTTGAAGAACCAAGTTCGGTAATAAAGAGGCGATTAATTTTTAATTTGTCGAAAAGAGAAAACAGTTTTGTCAAACATCAATAAACTAGATCAAAATTTTCTGATTTCGTTGCATCCGCTCTTTCACCTATTTATTTCGGGCCGCTTTAGCAGCAATACCAACTTTACAAACACTAATAAAAGTCACTGAAATAAGATTAGCAGTGATAAAAAGAAGCAAAAGTTGGCCCAGTATTACCATTAATTCTCTAGGAAAAACCATGATGTCAATAAACCAAATTATCTTCCACCCATGTTAGTTTTTGCCTTCGAATTCGATCCATTCTTTATGTTGAACATCATCGGCAAATTACCGTTTATATAAAAAAGACATTCGTCCGGCAATTTATGTCTCCGGGAATTAATTTTTATCTAGGTCAAAAGGTTGGAAATAGAAGTAGAGATTGCGGCGTCGCCACACATTTCCTAATGGC